TGGAATAGAATGAGACTTCTATTGAAACTACAAGTCAGAGTGTGATTATATATCTGTCTTGAGAATTTATTAAACATCAACACATCAGAAGCTCAAAATATGTATCTGACATATTTTCATTGTCGTCACTAACACTTTGGTCATAAAAACTCACTTATGTACCTTTCCTCTGTCATTCTTACTAGGCACGGAAAAATGAAGGCAAGTTATCTGGACTTGATTGTCCTTTTAATAGCTGTGGTACAAATCGATACTAAATCAGTGTGATTCAGCCTTATGACCTCAATTACAACCAAAATATATCTTGGCACCATCAGTCTCCATATTTGCCTCTCTGGTGGCTTCTATTGAAATAAGCATGTTCATCACTTTCTGAAGTCAGGTTTTGACAGTAATGGTTTATGTTTGTTTTGTTTCTTAAACCAGAAGCAAATCTTTCATATAAAAAGTGTCATTTAAAGAATCTGTGAAATCAGTGTTCCAATTATTTCCTATATAAGCTCTGATGCTCTCCCTTCCCTGTGCCTGTCACGTTCATGATTTATGACTTTTTCTGCTACTTGCTTTGAAGTTTAAATGGTTTGCCACAAAAGCACAAGTTATTTAATCATTTCATCAATGGCTCTTCAGAAAGTGCCTTCTATCCTACTGCTGTGATATTAATAAGAAAATATTGGCCAGGAACTCCATGTAAATTTCTCCATGTTTCCTGTAATTCACTGAAAACTGTCTGTGCATTGGTAAATCATGGTTCTCCAGCCCTCATGATTTAACTGTTTTGTGGGTTTGTTTTCTTTCAGTTGAATAAATGTTAAGCCTTTGCCAATTGTGTATCTAGCAAATATTTATGGCAGGACTATAATTCATACTGAGGCTGTGTAGCTTGAAAAGGCTGACCGCAAATGTGAAGAGCAGAAAATGAGCTTTGCTGGGCCTGCATATAGCAGAAGAAAAACTATTTGAAACAAGGTGAAGCAGCCATAGGCTGGTTGTACATACCATGAGGGTTTAATTTGGTTTAGTTCTTTATAAACTGAAACAGAGAGTTTTTGAAAACACCACTTCAATTTAGGGAGAATAAAACTGAACTAAATCCCTGTGGCATGTACACAAGGGTGGGGGCCCAATCCTTACCTGCCTCTACAGCGGTGGGAGAGTAGAGGATGGTGCAAGCTGCTGGCGGGCCAAGTAGTCTCTGAGCCATGCAGGAGCTCTCCAGGTGGCACCTGTCTGCTGGCATCTGGCCTGGGTGGTCCCGGGGGGCCACACCAGAGAGGGAAAGACCCCCCCCCACCACACACTCCACAGCTACAGAAGGAAACACCAGGTCCCTGCATAACTCAGGCAGGCAGGCAGGCTCCGGGAAGAAAAAAACAGAAAAAAAGATCAGGCTTGCCACTTTTTTTCTTCTTCTTCAGTGAAGCTAACCAGCACAGGCTGTCGCCATTTCCCACAGCCCCTGCACTGTGCGGGGCCCACCAAGTCTCAAGCATGTCACCTTTCAGCTTCCTGTGCATTGCTGCACTTTGTTAGGTAGCAAACTAAAACAACTCTGAGGTGTTTTATCTTCCTACGTACCAAAGTCATTTAAAGTGGAATACACCGCTGAGCGTGCAAACAGCAGTGCAATTAAAGCAATGCAAAAAGGCATTTAAGCCACTTTAAAGGCCAATTTTGTGGTGTGTACAAAGGTCCTTAGTGACCACTGTACTCGGGAACCAAAGCACCCATGAGAAATGTGGCTGAGAGAGGCATCAGGAATGAAAATTAAAAGAAACTGTGTGGGGATGATGAATGGAAAAGAGTTTGGATAAGGAGGAAAACATTGTGGAGCACAGAGAAATTTTAACTTAGGTGCCAGCTTTTCAAGCTTTAATATGGATATCTGCAGCTTTTCAGTAGTGCCAAAGTGCTTTAACCCAATTCTCAGCAATTCCCACCGTGCCCACAGCAACCTGGATTGACTTAATACAGCAGCAGCTCTAAATTACACCTTGAGAGAGACTTGGTCCAAGTATTAAGATATTAAGGATATCATGAAACTTCCACCCAACAGTGCTGGGAAACTCTCCAGCATAGGAAAAGACCTGTCTAATTCTTCAACATCATCAACAGGCAGTGACGATTCTCATTTTTGGAGCCCAAAAAATTAAAGTGTTTTTGTTGAAAAAAAACACATACAGGCTTGTCTGAAGTAAGATGGTACATGTCTATGGAAAAAATAGATCAAGCTGATGGTGTCTTATCTGAGATTTAAGACCTTTATGAACCCCTGCAGATACTAGTTCAGCTTAAATAAGCAGTTTTCAGGCAGATATTAGTTACACAACTATAAGTAATACGTTAGAGAACCTGCATCCTGGAAACCAAATAGCCTTGTTGTGCATAACAAACAAAGCAAAACATTTCTCGCAGCAAACTTTTAACTGAAGAACACAAAAGACTAGTCTAGACTAGACTACAAGTTGGTTGTGTTACTTTCTGCCACCTGCAAGTGCCTACTGTAAATCTTGCTGGCTGTGTACTGATTAAAATGGCTCATCTCCTGATGTTGCATGAGGTGAAGGAGCATATATATATGCAAAAGGATTTTTCTGAAAGATCATGAGCTGTGAAGCAGTATTTGCTCATTTTGCAGTATAAGTAGCTTTTAATTAAAGGGAGTGAAATAAAACTGTGTGAAAATGCCTGAAATCCCAAATAAAGCATTAAGTTAAAATGTAGAAACAGGTGCTTACTATATTGCTGATACAACTTTGACTACATGCACTTTGATGTTCAAGAGGTGAACAAGTCAGTCAAATATACAAATGAGGAGGATTTTAGTTTAAGTGAACAATATAATTGGTATAATTTATAATACTGGACTGCCAGTCGATTGAGAACCTATAAGATGGCACAAGATGTCTCAGCTCTGCCCTACAAAATGAGCTCTGTTGTAGCTACTATTTAAAATGACAATCACAAGACTGCAGATTAAATAGAGATTCCCCAATCTATATCATCCTAATGAGCATTAAGTTAAGAATTTGAACATATAACTTCCCTGACCAAGGTCAGTAGACCACCAATAGATGTAAGTGGAATCAAGGACCAAACGTTCTTCTATTGTGCAACTAATTGTTGACAAGAGTCTGAAAATAATGTCCTAGCCACATTCACACTGATTCAACAACTGTCTTTCTAAGGCAGCGGTGTTCATTCAACCATTGCCCCATGGGCTAGATCCAGCTCCAAAGTGACTACATCTGGCCTGCAGCACAGGGAATCAGCAGCAAGCAACTCAGGCCAACATGCCCCCTTCCCTGCCCTGCACCATGCCACTCCATCCCCTCAGCAGCTGGAAGTAAGCTCTCTTCCTCTTTCCCTTCTCCCCTTCATATGACACTGGCAGCCACTTCCCTTTCCTCGCTATTTTCTTACCAGAACTGCAGCCTGTGAGGCAGTCCAGTGGCAAGCATCTGGCCTGCTTGTCTAAAAGGCTGAGCCCCACTAGCCTAACGGCTTCTCTACAAATGCACCTATTAGCTACCTATCCAATGGCGGTTTCAGACAATCTGAGTCCACATCTGGTGCTGTAATTGTGCTTCACATGCTGTCCTCCTTTAGTTTGTCTCATCTTGCTTCCCTCTTCTTTCTCTCTTCCACATGCCCCCAGTCTTCCTCTGGAGTACCTGCTCAGCTTCACTCCTCTCTTGTGTTTCTGTTAACTCTGCATATTCCTATACTTCCACCTTCCTCTTCACCTTTTTTTCCTGATTTTACCAGTTTCAGCCCCTTTTGCCCCCTTAGGCTCCTGGTGATGGCCATCAACTCTGACCTTTACTTAACATATTGCACTCCTCCACTTTTTAGCAGATATACTTTCAAACCGGATGCCTGGAGTGGATGAAAGCCACTTATCTGCAAACTGCAACAGAAAACCAGCTCCCTGAAATCAACTGGAGGAGGCTAAAGATGACTCATTTCCTTGTGTGCAGAGCTTCCACTGACCCTCATTTTGAAGGCAAGAGTTTACAGAAGTTTGTGACTCATAACAGAACAGTGGAAAGTTGGGAAGAGATTAACGGACCTTGAATAATTCTGAGATGGGATTTCCCAGAAAAAATGTTGCATCCTATCACTGTAATGGAAAAAGACATTAAGATAAAGGCATAACAAAGTGGCTGGGCACTCAGGAAAGCAGGATGCATGGTGGCCAGTGGTGAATTCTGGCTGCTCTGGCATGTTCTTGTGGCTGTGGCGGCAGTTGATATTTTTATGCCTCTCTCCGACCTTCCTCCAAGTCAGCCTGGGGCAGCTGCACTGGTCACCCTGCACTAGTTCTGCTACTGCTTAAAAGCTGAAACCAGGAAATCACAGTTTTCACCATTAAGACTCTAGCAGTTTTGACATCAGCAAATGATCACTTTTCATCAGTGGCAAGCTGGTTTTCCACCTAGCATGTGCTCATCTTTTCAGCATCCAAATTGCACTGAAGCTACACAGAGGCAAGAAATTTAAAGAAAAGAGTATTAGGCTGTTAGAATTTCAGATTGATTTGGCTCTTCCTCTTTAGTTTTGGAAGTCACACAGCAGTCAGGCTAGGTGCCCAGTACTTCCATCTCTCTTGCATTATTGTTTGGCAGTCCATATGCTCTGTGCCCAGCTTTAGATCCTTTGGATGGAGTACAAGACCCCAAGTACCACCTCAAATTGCTCTGCCTGGCACCACTAGATGAAGCTCCTCAGCTGTCAGAATTGATCAAATTGTTACCTTGAAAAATGAGTGGTCAGCTTTTGGACAGCTCCTGCACCAGTCCATCCCAGGTCATTGTTCTTTGCCATTTTACAACCGTTTAGTCTTTCCTTGGTTATCAGTACCAGATTTGGAACATATATGACTACTATCTCAGCATGTAGTGAAAAGATTTGTAACTATTTTGATCTTCCTGTATGTGGGCTGAAAGAGCCTCAAAACTCCTTTGACGTCAAGTAGTAACAGACACTACCCTCTTCCGCACAGACAGTGAAGACCGTACCATGAATATATGAAGAGAAGAACACAAATACTTACTACAGATTCAAGAGGTAACCTTTCTTTTAAAGTATTTTTGTTACAATAGCTAATGAAAAAAAATATTCCTGGGTGAGGCAGCTAGCTTTTGAAAAGCACTGAAACTATGTATCCACTATTGTAATTACTGTAACAGGGAGCCACAGGCTTCTGTTACCTTAACAGATGCTGCAGCAGGGTTAAGTTGGCTGTATGGAGGGGCAGCAGCTAGGAAGCAGGCTAACTGCTAGAGGGCTAGCCGCTAGAAAGGAGACAGACCCATAACAGGACAGGGGTTACCCTGGGGGCATGATTATCCTGAAAGCTAGCTGCAAGCAGAAAGCTGCACAGGGGACAGATATATCTATATGTTGCCAAGGAGCAAAGAATGACACTATGAGCAGCTCAGCTAAACCACCACCGAGAAGGGCAAAGCTAGCTGTCAGGCCAAAGTGGAAACCACCTCTCTACATGTCCATAGCTCCCTTTGGGATGTTACTAGCATAAAATGGAAAACAGATTCGAGTTAAAGTGGGAAAGGCAAACTTGTAAATACTTGATAAACAAACCCACTCTTTTTTTTTTTTTAATTCACTGTGTGCAAAAGTTCTTAGGTCTGTAAATTGTTTGGAGTTAGATTATTTTAATCATTTTTAAAACATATCAAATAAAGGAATTAAAGTGATTTTTTTTAAAACTTGACTGTAACTTATACAATGTATTTTATAGGGTGCTCTGACTGATTTTTTTCCTAAGAGTTTACAGTTTACCTGAAAAACTCAATAAATAAAATAAGCCATGGCATGGTCAAAGAAAAAGAGGGGAAAAGAAAACCAAAGGGCCTTTATTTACATTATTAAAACAGGAAATCTTCCTTCAGGGATGGTAGTTTATAGATGAGCAGGAATATGGCTAAGAACTTTATGTTAAATTAGGTTATTGAAATTGAGATCCCACATAGTAGGAAACTGAGTCCACTATTTTTCTAATAAGAGATCACTTCTAGCTATTACTTTAAGGCTATTCTAGCTATTAGTTTAAGGCTAGCTATTACTTTTTTGTGGAACAGTTATTGTATTCATGTGCACAAACCAAGTAACTGTTCCAAGAGAATGGGTAGTTGGTATCTGTCTACAAGAAACACAAATACAGTTGTGTATGTCCATGTATATTTAGCAGATCCCTTTTCGATTGAGACTATCCCTTTTTGAAATGTGATTCAAAATAGTTCACTGCTTTTTCTTTTCCTCACCAACAGAGCATCTCAGCTGAGTCTGTGGATAGGAGGTAAAAAGGTTGAGGTAACAGGGAGATGGGATTTTCAACACTAGATTGCACATTTTAATTCAGCCCACAAATCAAGTGCAAACTAGAAGTTACCATCTCATGGCTGTTCAAGTTGCCTATCTGGAATTAAAATGGTGGTCTCAGTTCACTTCCCAATGAAGTATCAACATCACACACAGAAAAAATTTTATATTCCAGTAATTTTTTCCATTTTCAAATTTAACTTATGATGAGGTTATGGTGTTGTTTTTAAGCAGTTAATGGGCTATCCTAAATATTCAGCTATCTCTTACGTATATAGTGTGAAAATAATAGGTATAATATACCAGAGGTGCATATCTTTTATAAGCCTAATATTAAATGTATATTCTGAATTTTCCATCTTCGTATTTTAGGAAGCTTTAAAAAGAAAAGACAATGATGGAGATATCTAACACAAGCTCAGAACAACAGCTTATTTCCCTAAATGAAACTCAGATCTCCAAAACACTATATTCGATCTTGATATCACTCTACAGTGCTGATCTAGCTGGAGGTATTACTGGAGTTGTCCTAATGTCCCATCACTTGCTTCAAAGAAGATCACAGACTGTGATGACTGCTATCATCATCAATCTCATGGTAGTGCATACCATTCTGTTACTTAGCCTTCCATTCCGCCTCAGCTATTATATTTCATCTGAATGGAAACTGGGGTGGCTCACCTGCAGAATGGTTAGTGGCCTGATTTACTTGCATATGTATACCACTTTCATTTTTTATGTAGCTATTATTCTAATACGCCTGTTGAAACTGGAGTTTAAGAAGTGCTACACAACAACCTGGCTTGCTGGTCTCTGGCTTGTGGGAACTCTGGTGATCTTACCTATTTTTATTTCCTATTACGGCACCACTGACAGCTACAAAGATTCAGAATGCTTTCAGTTCCAGAAAGACATCATGAAGAAGGGCATGATGATAACAAACTACTGCTTGATTGCTACTTTGATGGCAATATTCTTTGTGCTCACCATAATCCAATTAGCCATAATCTTTCAACTGGCAGTGAAGTACTGGCCTGAAATGAACTCACATGTGGAATTCAGAGCTCACATGAAGAGTTTCTTCTTCACCTTGGTAATACTAGTCTGCTTTATACCTCATCATGTATTTCGACTATACTATATTAAACATTTCCACCAGGATGAGGACCATAAACTACTCTTATACAATGAAATCTTCTTAGCTTTTACAGCTATGTGCTGCTTGGATATGCTGTGTTTTGTAGCAGGAATAGCCCATTAAATTATACGTAGCTGGTAAAATATATGTTGCTGTGCAGCTTTCAGTTCTTTGTAGCAGAAAGACACTATCTAAAATGTTCCTTTGATCTACGGGGATTACAGTTTTAGTATGAGGACAATTTGGTTTGGATTTCTATCGTGTTCAGGTTTTAGACCCTGGTATGTCATAACCTTCAGAAGTCACCGGTCCCCATTCTCTCCCATGAAGACAATATTTCTGATGCCTGACTATACAACTAATCTTTGACCAAAGTAGATTGGTTTGTACCTATGTCAAGTTTCACCAATAATTCTCTCTCTGTTTCTAATAGTTGACATCCAAGGAGTTACTCTTTCCTCCTAAAGTTTCTCAGTCATGACAGACTACCTTCTCCAGTAAATGGTCTGTTAGACTTGGTTCATGTTGAGGATGGCAGGCAAACGTGAAACAACTTTTAACTGGCCAATAATTAGAAAGAAACTTTAAATGAAGGAGGAGAAGAAACCTATTTAAATACCAGCCTATTTATTTCAAAACTGATTTTCAATCTTCAGGTGCGATTTTTCTAGTCTTTGGACCTAATTCATTTCCTTGTTAATTCAAAATCACTTTCAAACAGCATACAAGGAGGAACAGAGTTTCATAACACATTTCTTCAGAGCTTTGCTCATGCAAAAAGTTCTGGTCTCACAACTCCACCTTTATTTTCATGATTTCAATAATCAAGTGGCTTATTCAAATATGCTAATCATCCATTTACATACAAAGACCTGAAAAGGTCAAGTTTTTCAGACATCTGCTTAGCATCACTCCTAAGTCAGGATCATATCTACTGCTGATATTTCTGGGGCTCTGAACATAAGGACTGGAGTTACAATACAATCTCAGGCAGTCCCTTCTTCTTTGAAGGACTGGACAACAAATTCAGTAACAAGGGAAATACTTTGTCAGTTCCCAAAAAAACACATAACAATTTCTCTTTTTGTGTCCCCTGACAAAGGCAGTGCCTGGGGTTGCTGCCCCTATTGCCGCCTCCTCCACCCATCCCAGTTTCGCTACTGAGAAAAAGCAGCAACTGTGGTCTGATAATGTCCTGAAAGCCATTAAGCTGGGCTTCAGTTTTCGTCTCTGATAAATTCTTTGTGACGTAGGACAAGGAATCACTTCCCCTACTTAATCCTTGGCTCCTTCTCTATACAACTGCTACATAAAAAATACTTACACACATTTGTAAAATACTTTGAGAACAACAGGGGGAAAGGGCAAAGTATAGACCGGGGGTTCCCAAACTGTGGTACATGTACCCCTGGGGGTACACAAGACATCTCTGGGGGTACATGGGAGAAATTACATAATGGTTGATTTAATTTTCATTATTATAATAATGGTTATTTAAGGGGTTAAAATATGAAGCATATGCTGGTAGGGGTATGCAAGCAGCTGGTAAATCTGGAAGGGGGTCACAATGAGAAAAAGTTTGGGAACCTCTGGTACAGACAATTTACATATTTGGGCAACAAAAGCGTAAATGTACCTGAGACTGAATCTAACACATTCAACACCAGGGGTTGATGACCTATGGCCTGGAGCTGACCTGAAAAGAGGTTGGATCTGAACCAGAAAGATTCAACCCAGGATAGGTTTTCAGATGGCATGCAGCTGCACTGTGCCACCTGTCCCCTCCATAGTCCTCCCTACTACTCTAAAGCCTGCACTAACCCAAGCTGAAGAGGGGCTGAGTATCTCTGTGGGGCTGTGTGGCAGAAAGCCACCTTGGTTTCTCCCCAAAAATCTCTGCCCTGTGACACTGTCGCTGGTCTGGGGGTGGCTTGCCGCCACCACCCCAGGAATGGACTGTCTCACGTGGTGGAAACAGCAGAGGGATACGAATACCCAGCTGTGTTCCTGAGGTGGGATCTCTGCACCCGCCACAGGCTGGACATGTGCAGCCTGTGGCAGAGGGCCAGGTCACAAATTCTAGTCTGCTGTAACAGAAGGTTGCTGACTAGGGCTGGGCAAACCTTCAGATCATGATTCAGATTCAGAGATGATTCGGATAATTCGGAGGCCGAATCTATGAATCCGAATCGAATCACAGGAAGCTTTAGGCTTTCCAAATTGATTCGGAAAAGATTTGGAGATTTGGCCATAGGGTATAATGGGAAATCAATTAAATATCTACAACTTTGTTGTCTTTTGGCTGATTCAGATGAAACTTGCAGCCTCTGCTGAGAGTGACACGTGCCATGTTTCAAGGTGATAGGTGCTGGGGTTTCTGGGAAACTGCACCCCAAAATTCTGACAGCAAAACTTGTGTCACGTGTGTGTTAAGCTATGGGTGGGGGGGAGGGGGTGAAAACTGCAGGGATGGTAGCTCTTACTGAGGCCACAAAGCCTGCCACGTTTCAAGGAGATAGGAGCAGGGGTTTGGGGGAAACTGCACCTCAAGCTGCGGATAAGCAAAACTCGTGACATGGGTGCTTGTGCAACTGTGTCTGTCTTGGGGCATGGGGGTAGGGGGAAACTACTGCAGGCCTGGCTGCTAAGCTATGTTACCAATCAGTCATGATCTACTCAGGGACCAGCTCAATACACAGTACCTAGCTACTACATAACCAGTTAACGAGTAAGGATTAACACCCACAAAACCACAGACAGAGCAGAAGCAGTTTGGCTCTATATTGACTATTTATCTCAAAGACAGAGACAGTCAATTGCACAAGCACCCATGTCATGAGTTTTGCATGTCAGCAGCTAGGGATGCAGGGCCCCAGAACCCAGAAGCCCCTGCACCTATCTCCTTGACAGCTGGCAGACTTCATGGCCACAGCAGGGGCTAGCAGGCCTGCAGCTTTCACCCTGCTGCTTCTTAACACACACAGTGTCACGAGTTTTGCCTGTCAGCAGCTTGAGGTACAGTTTCCCCCAAACCCCTGAACCTATCTCCTTGAAACTTGGCAGGCTTTGTGGCCTCCACAGGGGCTACCATCCCTGCAGTTTTGACCCCTCTGTGGCTTAACACGTACACATGACATGTTTTGCTTTCAATATTTCAGGGTGCAGTTTCCACCAAACCCTTGTAGCTATCTCCTTGAAACTTGGCAGGCTTCATGCTCTTAGAAGAGGCTACCATCCCTGCAAGTTGCATCCAAATTAGACAAAAAACAACAAAGTTATAAATATTTCATTGATTCCCCATTATACCCTATGGCCGAATCTCCAAATCAATTCCCTATGGCTGATTCCCCCAAACTGAAGCAGAAAACTGATTCAGAGCTCTGAATTGAATCACTGGCATCTGAATCAGCTGAATCCAAACCCGAATCAACTAGTTCCCTATTCACACAGGCCTATTATTGACCTCCGATCCACACCACAGTCCAGACATACCCAAGTTAGCTTTAAATTATCTAGCTCATGTCCTGCATTGCAGCATTGTCCATGTGTTTACTCAGATTCTTAGGTGTTGCTTTGTGGTTCTTTGCTGTCACAGTATTGCTAGCAATCTGGGCTAGCTAATTTAGGTATGTCACTAGGAGCTTCAGCAAATGCATTGCAGGCAAACTACATTAGCTTTCAAAGCACTAGGAATGTTATTTTTACTATAATCTGCTGCTACTCATATTGGCAATGTTGGAAAGTAAAAAGGTTCTCATTTTCCCTTGATGCATCTGTTCCTTCTGCTTGCTTACAGTAGGGTTATGTTGATTATATTACTGACAGCAGATCATCATGACCTCTCACTGCAAGCAAGCAGAAGGAACAGATGCATCAGGGGAAAACAAAGACCTTTTTATGTTCCAGCATTGCCATTTTGGGTAGCAGCAGATTTCAGAAAAAATAACATGCCTAGTGCTTTGGAAGCTAGCATAGTTTGTCATAGGGTGTAAATTGGTGTTGCATTTGATACAGGAGGAAGCATTTTGTTCCATAGCAAATCCTGACCTTTCAGGTATATAAGCCCATGTTTCATGTCAAATCCTACTAAAGTATGTAGGTCAATAATCTGCTATTGCTTTTTTTCTGGGACAAAGACTTGCACATCTGTAAAGTTATCTCAAGTAATCATCCCAGGACAAGCTGGCTAGACAATCCTCCAAACATCCCACAATGCACTGCTCCTGCCCCTCTAACTTCAGGTGGTCATTCTAGCATAGGAGAACTCTATTGCCTGCAGGTGAGAGATCACACATGGCATCACCCATCTTTTTTTGCTCTCTATGGTGACTTGCTTGCCATTCTGTGCTCCCATCCACACAATCAAGGGCAGCACCCTGACCTCAAACCATGCTTCCATCAACCACCATTGGCTGCAGGTATGGCTGCAACTAGATGCAGGATGAAGTAATGGACATGCTTACCATTTGGGGAAAGGTAGAAACTCAACAGTTTCTCCATTCCAGCCACTGAAACCAGGCTGTCAATAAAAGGATTGCTGTGGAAATGGCTGTCCATGGGCACAACCACAGCTGGCACCAATACTGCTCAAAGTGCAAGATGCAGAAGCAGAAGTTCATGAAGGCCTGGGGTTTCAATTATGTGCAGTGTCCTGCACCTGCCCTGCACATGTAGAGTGTCCTGCACCTGCTACAAGGAGCTATCCTACATCTTGGAAGTGGATGACAGGGTGCAGTCCCAGCATGTGGCATATACTGCTTGTTGCATTTCCCAGGACAGCAATATGGAGATGGGACACGCCATCATTCTGTTCCACACAGCCATTCTTTCCTGTTTCCATCCTGATTCAAGAGATGGCCACGGAGCTGTTCCAAGCTGAGGGCTCCCCTACTCTCCCAGACAGCATGAAGATGGACTTGTAGCCAGACAGCCACTGGCTGGATCACTAAGGTCATTCCTAGTCTATTCCTGGTCACCCTTAAAGATAACAGGTTTGCAGCCCACTCCTACCTGCACAGGCCTCCTCTTACTGCTGCCAAAAATGCCTTCCTCTAGGTCCTAGGGGTCCAGCCATTGTGAGGGACCAAGCAGATGTCTTTCCCAGCCTGTCCAGGGTAAGTTTGCTCATGAGGTGTGCAAGGGGCTGAAAATGTTCCCAGGGGTACATTCCCAGGAAGCAAGGGGGAACCCCAGTCTGAGCCTTATGGAAAGGCAACCTTAAACCCATTTCATTCCAAAGTATAGGAGTGATACCAGACACTGTCAGATTTCAGAGTCGTTTTTGACATAAATGCAAAAGACCAGTGAAAAGGGCATGTATATATGGCAAACTTACTGATACAGTGGCCCGAAGCCTCCCTCACCAAATGGGAGTGGTGAGTGGCTGTGTCCCCAGCCCTGCTGTGGAGGAGCGTGGTGAATGGTGCACAGCTCAGTGCACGCAGCCAGACCCTGGGAGCTGCACAAGGCAGCTTGGGTCTGCAACCCCTGGTGTGCAGCCAGGAACATGATGCACAGGCTGGTGCATGGAGCAGGACCCTGGGAGCTGCTTGAGGCAGCTCGGGTCTGCAATCCCTGGCCTAGGGCCAGACAGCTGGTGGTGACAGCACAGCACAGAGCAGTCCAGAAGGCATCGGGACCTTGGGAGCTGCTTGCAATGGCTCAGGTCTGGGTCCCCTGGCACAGAGCAATGATCCAGTGCAGAGAACACTGCACGGAGGGTCCAGGAGCAGACTAAGCCCCAGTGTTGCACGAGGCGACACATGCCTCCAACGCTTAGCAGAAGGCAAAGCCTCCAGGAGCACGTGATGGTGCTCGGGACTTCAAGCAGGTGAGCAGTCCAGAAGGAGACAGAGGTCTAGGAGGCTCCTGCAAGCGAGGAGCAATATGCCTGAGGGGCCAAGGACCACTCACTATGGACCCCAGAGTAATGAGTTGCTGGGGAAGAGGATTCTCACAAGGGAGGAGAAATTCCTTCTGGCTAGTAAGGGGCTCCTGGAGGGGAGGTCCCAGGAGAAGAGGGCCCCCTCTGAGTTTATAGGCTTCAATGGAGGTTTGTGGAAGGCCCAAGGGCACTAGGGTTTCCCCTCCCACTAGTCATGGGAGTACAGCCAAGGCCTGGGCTTTGGGGACTTTTGAAGAGCCAAGTTTATTTTGTATGTTTATGTGCCTTATATTTTGTGAGGGAGCACCTTATATTTTGTAACACTACATCTCATATTTTGTGTATTTTTATAATTGTATATTGGTAGTTTAACAAAGTCTATAATTCTGCCTGGGGGGGAATCCACTGGGACCCCTTGCTATTACTTACATGTGTTTACCTGTCACTCATCTGAAACCCCAGCGGTAGTAATGCATTATAAAGAATAAGGTTTATAGTTAT